AAAGATCTTGAGAGAGAATGGCTTGAGTTTACGGTCAGAAGTGAAAAAGTGAGTCAAAAATCAGTTAACACTAATATATATAGGAGGGAGTTCACGGCCGCAAACCGAGGGTTCACGGTCCGAAGGCATGTTCACGGGCCGAAGGCTCGTTTACGGCCAGAAGGCTCGTTCACGGCCCGAAGATTTGTTTGCGGTCTAAGCAAGGTTTGCTGTCCTCGGTTCCAAATGACTTTCCTCCATAAACCCTATCACTCATATATACAAGTTCCATACACTTTTAGCTCCTTAATCTAACTATATTAAGATATTAAAAGAATTAAGTTTGAACCTTGATTGATATGTTTTACTTAGTTGACCAAGTTTGACTTTTACAAGATAGAAATTACGGGTTGTCACATAAAAAGTCATAAATTACGGGTTGTCACATAAAAAGTCATAAGCCTTGACTAGCACATGAGCACCAACCAACACAACAACAACAGCCACCACCACCGGTCAACACCTTCATCTCTCTCTCTCTCTCTCTCTCTCTCTCCCTCTCTCTCATACAGATCTGAGGTGGAACCGCACCTCTCTCGCCATCTATCTTACATATATGATAATGGGGAGGTGGTCAGATGAATCAGAAGATTAAAGACCAATAAGAAGATTGAAGGTTCGTCATTTGCACAAATACGACGTCGTCTACACCTTCACCGCCGACTTCATTGCTAGGGTTTCGTAAACCTGCATCAGGATAATGGTAGAGATATGTTTTTAGATCTTGAAACCAAAACAAAATCCTAGTCCAGACTCGTTCTTACAGATCTTGAAATGAGAAAGGCGGCAACATTAGGGTTTCAGGAAACGAGAATGGTGGCAACAAGAGAATGAGAGAGATGTAGACAGATGAATGGGTAGTCGCTGATGTTATTCGTCTCCTGATTCATCACAATGTTCTTTGTCTTCTGATTCATCAATTGGGTTTCTGCAACTTATCGGTCTAGATTTCCGTAAATCGTTCTTAAAGATCTTGATTTTTTATCTTTCCCTTTCTGTGAAGTCTTCCAGATCCGAAGTTGAACCCTACACCACCATAAAATTGCAAAGCTTCTGGGTTACCTTTGAGTTTTCTGATGTGCATTCTGGTAGCCTCCTTTGATTCTTGAGATTGTAAGTTCATGTGTGTCGAATTTGAAGCCAAATGAAAATTTGCTTCATCATTGTGAATGTTGAATCGTAGAGAGAGAGAGAGAGAGAGAGAAAGAGAGGAGGTTAAAGAGAGGTTAGGTGATATTTTATTTAGCTTTTTCTTTAATTTTTATAAATAAAAGAAAATGAAAAACAAAATTAAAAAAGACAAATCCATTGTTTGAAATATTTTTAAATAGTTTTAGACCAAAACTACAACAAAATTCTTATTTTGAACCACTGTTGCAACGACAAAACATTTTGGACAAAACATCTAATTTTTAACATATCAGAGGGACCAAATTTACAATTTTGACATTGTTTAGAAGCATAAATACGTATTTTTTATGTTTTTTAAAAATTTTAATATATTTTTTGAAATGGTAAATACATATTTTTTTCGTATTTAAAAGTGTAGATACTTTTGTTTTGAAGTATAGTTACGTAAAATTTTATGTATTTAAAAATATGGATATTTTCATTTTGAAGAATAGTTACATATGTTTAGATATTTAAAACTATAGAGATATATTTTATTAGAAATATATATATATATATATATATATATATATATATATCTATATATATATATATATATATATATATATATATTGGTTCTTCAAGGAACCAATTCTTTTTTTTCAATTTGTAGAGCTTATTCGTTATCGAAAAAAAATCTAAATTCATATATTAACATTGTGAATGTGAAAAATATTTTTCGGATTCACCGTGTGAATCCGGATTCACATTGTGAATTTTCAAAGATTCACATTGTGAATTTGACGTAAAAAAAATCGAATTTGATATAATTGGAAAAAAGATAAAAAGTTATGAATTTCTGTATTTTTAGTTTTTTTTTGATAAAAAATAAGTTCTAAAAGTTGAAAAAAAGATTGATTCCTTGGTTCGTTGGTTAATTATGGTTCTCTATTGAACTTCACCCTCTCTCTCTCTCTCTCTTTCTCTCTCTCTCTCTCTCTCTATATATATATATAAATTAAAAGTTAGATTTTAAAAGCTACTTTTCTTTATTTTTTTTTTCAAACCAATTAATATAGCGACGATAAGAGTTGTTTAAAATTTTCTTGACATCTAGAGAAAAAATGACTTTTTTTTATTGTTATGACAATAAATATTTATATTCTATTTCAAAATTTAATTATTATATTTTTTATATGTAATTATCTAAGTATTTTTTTATACATTTTTATGATTTTTAGGGTTTTTTTAGGGTTTTTTGTTTTCCATAGAACCTAAACCTATATATATATATAGTATATATATATATATATATATATATATAATATATATATATCTTATATAATATAGATATAGATAGAGAGAGAGAGAGAGAGAGAGAGAGAAGAGAGAGAGAGAGAGAGAGAGAGAGAGAGAATGTTTCAACATTTTTAAATAAGAGACATTTGTTGATTTTTTCAAAGAAATTATATAGTTAAGATACACATACGATATTGAAAATAGTTTCGATGTCAACTGGTAATATTTTTGATAAAAATAGTTTTTTTTTGGTCACATAACATAATTAACTATAAGGAAATGGAGAAAAAATAAGTTATTAACTATTAAGTAAATAATAAATGAATTGGAAATTATTTTGAAAATAATTAAATAGTTTTAATTAATTAGTTAAATGGATTGAATATTAATTAATTCTTAGATATTAATTGAGATATTCCAGAAGCTCCTGTAGAGTTGCATAAGTCGATTCTGCTTATCCATAGATATGGATATATATGTTTTTGAATAAGGTAAGGTTTATCTTAAGAGTTTGAAACCTTTATCTGCTGCCTATAAATAGATTTCTATAGATCAAACCCTGGCTGCTGATTACTTTCTCAAAATCGTCCATACTCTCTGCATCTATCCTCTCCGTGAAAATTATAACCCATCTCCTATGGTTATTAAAATTTTGCATAAACCCTAATATAGGGTTAATCCTTATTAGCTTTTGAAGTTGTTGGTCTGACTATACGTATACATTAGAGAGATTCTACTTTAGGTCATTCATCCTTGGCAAGAGATGTCAGTTACGAGATCACAGTCAAAGCAACGAAAGAATAGTATTCCATCTATTATTCGTTTTTAAATTAAGTTGCTATAACTAGTAAAACCTAGATCGTAAGGTACATGTATACATATATTGTTTTGTTTCTGCTGTCTTGATCATGTGTATTGATGTCATAAAATCCAGTAGAAAGATAAATTTAAGAATAATTCAGGATCATCAAATTCAAAAAATCAATGATTCTAATGACAATTGTAATCATTTTTATTCATAATTAATCTCTTTAATTTATGAAAGTTTTAAATATTTTGAGAATTAATTTTAATCATTGATTTTTTTTCATAATACTTCTTATTCTAATATGATAGGAACTCTTTCTCTTCCTTTATTATATATATATATATATATATATATATATATATATATATATTATATATAGATATATATTATATATAATATATATAGATTATATGCTTAGTTTATTCTATTCTAACTAATTATTGTGCGGATATCGTATGCTATGAGAATGATAAAGAAAATATGTTGTTTGATAATCAAATACGTTCAATCTTATATAACTATTGTCATTAACACACATTCTCACTAATTAAATCGTCTATAAGGTTATTATACACTTATTATTATTATTCTCATTTCTGTCAGAATGTTTGTCAGAATGTTTATTGGTCGTATTTTGTCAGAATGAAAATGAGTGAAAAACGATGTGTGAGAAGAAAAATAAATAATAATTAGCGATAATGCATGAAAATGACGATATTTTTGTAAGGTTGAACGTATTCGCATTGCTAAACAACTTATTCTTTTAGTAATTATCATAGCATACGATATTCGCACAATAATTAGTTAGAATACTTGAACGTAGCTCTCTCTCTCTCTCTCTCTCTCTATATATTATATATATATATATATATATATATATATATATATATAATGTTGGATCGAGTGAGAACTCAAAAATAAATGAGGTCTACGAGGACAAATCTTGTCGTAGGATTGAAAAATAAAATAAAAGGTGGAGAAATGATTTTATTTATTATCAATATCTCGCGAGATGATATGGCGTTTTTGTAATTATGTACAGGATTTTGACATTTTTCAGTAAATATTAATTGTTTGGAGGTTAAATGGATAAAAAGGAAGAAAGAAAAATAAGAAAAAAACCCTTCCAAGGTGTCAGTTCCGCCCCTATCCATCTTCTTTTCTCTCTATGCTATATGTCATATTCTCAATTGATGGATTTTTTTTCATCAATTTTGTTTTTTGGCTATAACTTTTTTTTTAAAAAAAAAAAATCTAAAAAAATCAAAATTCTTAAAATTTAATTTTCTATAAAATAAACATAATCATGAAAATTTGTAAATTAATAATATCTAAGATCATTTAAAAAATAAAATAAAAGGTGTATCATTTTTTTAATGAAATTATTCACATATGACGCTCTAGTCGAAAAAGTTATATCAATGGTTCCTCCAAATTCATTTAATTTTTTTTTTCAACATAATGCATTATTTGCATGTCACTCAAATTGTTTGTGCAATAAATATATATGAACTATCATTTATAAAAAAATTAAATTGAAACTTTTATATTTTGGGACACCATATTCTTACCCCGTCCTGATTATTATCGAAATATTTTGAATTATACCATATGCTAAAAAAATATTTTGCCGCTTGAAGCATGTCACACTTACATTATATATACAAGCCCAAACACTTAGATTTCAGACCCTACTAGATCTCTCTCTCTCTAGATCTCCTTTTCTCTCTCTAAGATTTTCGTCATGGAAATGCAGCAGAAGACGTTGCTGAATGGATCGGAAGGATCCGAAAATCCACGACAATTGCACAACAATGTGGATAAGACTTGTACCGAAGATCAAAAGTCTTCGGAGACAAGATCTGAATACTCGCAATCCGATCCCAGGTATTTGTGTTTGTGTGACTTCACACAATTTTAGGGTTTTCTTTTTCTTGCAATTAATTATCTGGATTTTAATTATTTATTTTTTTGATGGTGCATGGATCCATAAAAACACGCGATGGTGACGGTACCAGTGCCGGGGATGCTTCTGAGGGTGGTTGCTCTATCGAAACTGCTGTAGCTGTTGCTGATGTTTCTGCAGGCAATGCCGGAGGCGGAATTGCTGCGGATGGCGTTGAGGATTGCACCAAAACTGCACCTGCTACTACTGAAGGTGTGGTAAACGATCATGGAACTACACCTAATGGTGGTAGCAACGGGGGAGCTCAACCTGAGGATGGTGGAATTCGCGTCGAAACTGCACTGTCTGCCGGTGGAGGTGATGACGATGTGTTGGGGGTCGATCTTAACTTTTCCTATAAAAGTGATAGTGGTGATGGTGAACAGGCTGCGGAGGAAGCTAAAGATGGTGCTGAGGTTAGCAGCGTTAATGTCGCTGGGGGTGCGGGTGCTGCTAATGGTGATGGACCAGTGATGCCCGCAAAAAAAAGGATCAAGTCCGAATGCAATGGTGATAAGGACCCACCGGTGATCCATGGACCGGAAGAAGATGGTGAGGGAGGAGGCCCATCAGTTGGTGGTGGAAGCGGTGGCGTTGAGCAGCCAAAGTATGGAATTAGGCTGTTTGGTTTTGATATCTAGGGTTTAGTTCCTTCAGGTGTCCGTTGTTCGAAATTAATTATCTTAATTTGGGCGTGTAACTTTTGTTTCATATTTATGAATAATAAATTTTAGATTTTGTTTGGTAGTCAATTACTTTTATTTAGGTTATATTTGCTATACTAGTTGAAAAGTCAGAATAATAGTTTATAAAAATAAAGTTTGACAAAAAAATATATGTTAAAAAAATTCGTTATACCGCGTCAAACAAAACCTCAGCTTTTTATTTTTTTATTTTTTTTCAAGAGTAATTAGTTATATTTATTTAATTATTGGTGAAATCTATAAAGGTGTATTTATTACAGAACAAATCACATAGGATTACAGTATATCGTAAATGTTTTAAAAACTGATAATAGGAAGCAACATATATCTTTTTTGTCCACTAACAAAACATTATCTGATATCAATACATCAAGTCTAACTCACAAAATTTCTTATTCATAAAATGCAATTTAGAATTTTACTTAATCACTAGTCAAAATATATGTATGCAAAAGGATTATTTTCTCGGCAGCCTCTTATCTTGCTCCACTTATATAAATTATGTCCACAATATATAACCAATTAATATTAGTTGGGTAATATAAGAGGTAAGTGTTACGATGAGCAAAATCTATTAGATCACTTCAGAGAGCTATTGAAGAGGCTGCTTACAATGGACAACCTTGTTAGTAGGGTGACCCGGAAAATTAACCTGTTTGTGTGGCGTTTGAGGCTGAATAGGTTGCCCAGTACCAAGTACAACCTTTTTCATAGGGACATGTCCATGCAATTTACGCACTACCATGTTGGCAATTGTTGTTTAGATTCGTAGACCGCTTCTTTCCTGTTCGATCGACGGCTAAAGAGTTGATGGTTCACCTGGGTAAATGGTGGCCTAAACTCCGATCTCCCTCTCTCTCTCTCTCTCTCTCTCTCTCTATATATATATAGATATATATATATATATATATATATATATATATAGATATATATAATATATATATATATATATATATATATATATATATGGTATCATAATCTGATCGGTACGGTGGTTTAAGCTTAACAGTGTTTGTGTTTACAATATGTTATCATAGCCTTTTTGTGGACTCTATGGTCTCATAGAAATGATATTTGTTTCAAGAGCATTTGTAAAAGTATCCTCTAATTAGATTCAAGGTAATGTACATCTCATTTATGTGGTTTAATGTTACAAGCGAAAGGTATAGCTAGGAAGCTAAAGTGGGAATTGTGTATGTAATGCTTTTCTCTTGTTCTGCTTATGTACTCTAGCTTCTCGCTAGCTCTTTGGCATTGAAGTTCTTGTTGTTAGTAAACATGAGCAAAATCCGTATTTGAATTCAAATTCTCACACCACAAATGATGATAAGACTTGTTGCATACTCCACAACGACTCATTTATGGAATAAACTAGGTTATAACCCGTGGAATCCACGGTTTGATAACTTAAAAGAGCTAAAATAATACATTGTATAATAAGTGATTTGCTAAAAGAAGTCTACGTATATAAATAAAAACTAAGAAACTAAAAAAAAAAAGAATAATATATAGATTGTAAATTGACATTATAATGAGAGATCAAATTATCAATTGTTAAAATTTGATATACTTAAGATAACAACCACCATCATAGTAGTACCCTAATGTTTTTCTAAAAATCTAGAAACAAAAGGTAATCCAACAAAGTTACATATACATCGTTTCCAAATCAGTCGTTCCATTTGTTTTCCGAATCAGTTACAACTCAAACGTTATCAACACTGCACAGTAGTTCATGCAAAACAAATCACATCCACTGCACCAATTCCCGCTTTCAAAAATAGTTAACAAAAACCTCAAACTTTTGCTAGCAAAATTTAAATTCCTCTAGGAACATACATTGAAGCATAACCAAGAGTTATCATCCTTCATAACTCAGTTCATGAAATTTATATAATTGCGTGACTTTTTCATAGTACAATGTTGCATGTAATAATAAAATATAAAAGTAAGACTCTAAATATTAGAAAGTAGCATGTTATTGTTGATTCAAAATAAAAGTCGAATGTTAATTTTGCTTAAAAATCAAAGTAGCTTGCTATTTGTGGCTTAGAAATGAAAGTATCATGCTATTATTGGCTTGAAAATGAAAGTATTATTCACCTTTTTACCTTAAAAATGAAAGTAACATGATATTTTTACCCTAAAAATAAAAGGAACATCTTATTGTACATTTAAAAATAAAAGTAGAATGCAAGTTTTCATTACAAAAGAAAGTAGTGTGCTATTTTTGGCTTAAAAAGGAGGGTAGAATGCTATTTTTTCCATAAAAATGAAGAGGCATGCTATTTTACCCTAAAATAAAAGGAACATCTTATTGTTCATTTAAAAATAGAAGTAGAATGCTAATTTTCATTAAAAAAAAGTAGCATGCTATTTTTGGCTTAAAAAAGAGGGTAGCATGCTATTTTTTTTCATAAAAATGAAATTGCCATGCTATTGTTTGCTTAATAATGAAAGCACCATGCTCTTTTTCCCTTAAAAATGAAAGTAGGATGCCATTGTTGGCTGAAAAAAGGAAAAGTAACATGCGCCTTTTTGCCTTAAAAGCAACATGCAACATGCTACTTTTTCTCTAAAAAAATAAAAGTAGATCAACATCAGCATATAATTAAAGGATTGTGATAAATGTGAAGTTAAAGAGATCCACATCGCACACATTAAAAAAATTATCTCTCTCGTTGCATCAATGTTCATCTTTTCATATTTCTAAAAAAAGAATTATCTCTTTCGTTCTCGTTAACAAATAGATTTCTCTTTAAAAGCATTAATAACAATTGATATTGAATCTCCTTTTTCATATAAGTGACTAAGATTTATTTCCTTCACAAATGGTGAATGAGTTTGTAAAACTTAATCCATATTGCTTATAAGTAGATAAATCACAATTATCACATCTCATACTTATGGCTCAATATCACACAATTCAAGTTTCAAAAATATTTGCTGTCAACCAAAAGTTTGTGCATTTTCTTTCTCTTTTAAGTTAAATACTTAACTTTTCACTCTTACATGGTAAATAATTCATTCTATCCTG